GAAAAGCCATCCTGTTTCTGATTTGCTCCTGGAATGTCCCACTTTCCCTTAGGATGTCTCTGTTTTCATCAGAGAAATGTTGGAGGGTATGGAGTTATCCGACCCCCGAGCCATCTGAAGGCGATCCTGTATAGTGAATTATTAAAAATGTTTTACAGTGGTACCTCGGGTTACATACACTTCAGGTTACAGACGCTTCAGGTTACAGACTCTGCTCACCCAGAAATAGTACCTCAGGTTAAGAACTTTGCTTCAGGATGAGAACATAAATTGTGCTCCAGCGGTGCAGCAGCAGCGGGAGGCCCCATTAGCTAAAGTGGTGCTTCAGGTTAAGAACAGTTTCAGGTTAAGAACGGACCTCCGGAACGAATTAAGTATTTAACCCGAGGTACCACTGTATTATGTTTTTATATATATTGGAAGCTACCCAGAGTGTCTGGGGCAACCCAGTAAGATGTGTGGGGTATAAATAGTAAAATTATCATTATGGAATGGGACATCCCTATTTTCATCGGATAAATGTTGCAGGGTATGCAATCAAAGCAGATTCACTTCTACTGAGCCATGGCCCACTCCTAAATCTGCAAGCTTTTCATCCTGAAATGATTCATTCAACGTAATGGAGCTTTCTATACTTACCCTCAAATTAGGGTGACCTTTCTGTGTCTGTGCCGCATCCTCCCTGTGCTTGGAGGGCAATTAGGAAAGAGCTTAAAAACACCACTTGAAGGACTGAATGGTTGTTCCGTGGGAAACAGCAAGGAGCCGAGGTGCAGGGGCAACCCTGACAAATGAACCCATATTTCACCAAGTGGTGGCACAAAGACGGAGGAGGAGTCGGAGGAGTCAAGGGCATCCGCCGAGCACACAAAGTGATGCTCGTGGAATATGGAAGGATCGCAGAGCCTCTTTCCTTCCTCGCAGAATCAGAGCCTCTCTCTGCCAAATGAGAAGGGTCTTTAATGGAATATTGAAATCCCATTTGGAGGATCATCACACAGTGCCTTAAAAGAGCATTCAACTCCGAGAGCCTGCTGGGATTATTAAAGGTGAGCTCTGCATCAAGGAGGCTTCCTTCGGCTGGGTCTCAATGCTGAGCAATTATTAAAGGTAAAGGTAAAGGGACCCCTGACCATTAGGCCCAGTCGTGGCCGACTCTGGGGTTGCGGCGCTCATCTCACTTTATTGGCCGAGGGAGCCGGCGTACAGCTTCCGGGTCATGTGGCCAGCATGCCTAAGCCACTTCTGGCGAACCAGAGCAGTGCATGGAAATGCCGTTTACCTTCCCGCCGGAGTGGTACCTATTTATCTACTTGCACTTTGATGTGCTTTCGAACTGCTAGGTGGGCAGGAGCAGGGACCGAGCAATGGGAGCTCACCCCGTCACGGGGATTCAAACCACCGACCTTCTGATCGGCAAGTCCTAGGCTCTGTGGTTTAACCCACAGCGCCACCCGAGGCTTCAAATGTGCCCTGTTGTAGTTGTGCTGGAAAATGACACCAGAGCTGATTATTGCAGAGGCACAGCTTAAAGGATGATTCTAGCTAGCACAAGGGCGGTGGCGGCGGGGGGAGGAGATTAATTTATTTTTTAATTGAGTGTGCCCCAATGTGTTTTGAGCAACACTAGTCCTGCACTGCTTTTAAAAATCCCTTTACACTTCCTATTTATTTTTATTCATTTCTTGCATTGGGGTATATGGGGCATTAGGCGAGGGGTTATACCTCTGGTGGGGGACACAGTCGTGCTCCTTCTGGGGTAGGTTGTCCACAGGTGGTCCCCACCCTGCACTCAGCTCTCACCTGCAGTTCCTAGAAGCTATTGACATGTGACAACAGCCACACTCTGGGAAATGGCTTAGACTGGCTGGCTAAACCAGGTGAGGATGGCTGGTGGGTCTCTGTTCCTTGGTGAGTAAGTGTATTATAAGAATTTAAGGTCTCAAATATGTAAATTAAATGTACAAGGCAAACACATACAGAAATATATACACCACACGTCTGAAACAGTACACGAAGACAGTCTTGAAACCATTTTGACTCTCCCAAACCGACCAAATGTTTCTCTGCAAGGAGGGAGGAAATGGAAAAAACCTCCCCATTGTCTCTGTGCTCACAAATCCTGCCTTAAGGGCACATTTAAGGTGTGACTAGGGTGAGCCTGTGACCTGGCTCAGGAATTACCAGCAAGTATTTATCATTACAAAAGAATGTCCAGGTTGCCCGGGTGATCCAAACAGTGACCATTGACAGGTTTTCTGCCAGACAGGATTTTGTATGATATATTGGGGTGGTGGTCTTGGGCTACACCCCTTCTGTGATTTATGTATGATGTTTCTGGGCATAGCTGTCAACGTTTCCCTTTTCTTGCGAGGAATCCTATTTGGAATAAGGGAATTTCCCTTAAAAAACAGGAAACGCTGACAGCTATGTTTCTGGGGGGTGGTCTTGAGTTTGAAGGTGGGCAATTTCAGAAGTCTATATAAGGGCAGGCACACCTCTGTTCTGGGTCCTCCTCTTTTCTCCTGCATGTGAGGGGAGCACCCTGTTGCAACAGTTTTAATAAAGATCAGGCTTACTAGCTGCTTTGCTTCTCAACATTCTCTGGTTGGCCTCTGTTATTTTCTCCTACCGATAGGGAACCCACTTAAGGACTCTATACAGGCTCTTGGATACCCCATAAGGGAAAAAGGGCAGATTTTGTTTACAACAAAGGACTTCCCCTACATGTGAAGACAGGTTTGGGTGGATTGAGTGGGCAAGGCCCATAGTGGCTCCAATGGTCAACAAGGTAGTTTCTGCACGTGCTGTAGAAGGAAGTGAGAGGCAGATGGAGCCCGTCAACCTGGTAAGGGAGCCCATCTAGAAGGAAAACTCAGATCCCAAATATCCACTGCCTTGCAGAATATCTCCAGGAGAAGAAAACTCTAAGGAGTAAACATACACAAATCTGGAGTGGAGGCCCTAAGACGGTTGGATGGCGCCTCATATGGCTCCTTCCAACAACTCCTGCACCCAAGCTGGTGCCAAACGTATTGCTCTGTTTTCCTTTGGACCACATCAGTGAGGCTGAAAGGGAGAGGTCTTGTAATCGGGGCAGCCCCAGACCTCCAGACACACTTCCCAGGCTTGTGCCCCAGGGAGGTCAAGAAGAAGAAGAAGAAGAGTTTCGACTTGATATCCTGCCTTTCACTCCCCTTAAGGAGTCTCAAAGTGGCTAACAATCTCCTTTCCCTTCCTCCCCCACAATAAACACTCTGTGAGGTGAGTGAGGCTGAGAGACTTCAAAGAAGTGTGACTAGCCCAAGGTCACCCAGCAGCTGCATGTGGAGGAGCGGGGATACGAACCCGGTTCACCAGATTACGAGTCCACCGCTCTTAACCACTATACCATGCTGGCTCCCCTTTCTCATTCCCCTCACTCTGGCATCTGGGAAGCAGGAAACTTATAAGCTCACAAAGTCATACCTTGACTATCAGCAACAGGGAAGACTGCATCTGATAACAAAATGTTTCACATAGCAGACATTTCACATAGCAGAACGGCTGAGTGGAAGAAAAAGTAATTGGAGCCTTGCCAATGGTTTGTTTAGAGAAATTCCGACCTGGGAAGCCCTGAGTCATAAGTTTAACAGTCCCACTCAGACAAATTAAGCTCATCTGATGAAACTTTGTTGGGGCAGCAGCAATTATGCATCGGTGTACAAACAAATAATGTAAATTGCAAAGCAATGGGTGTATCTATTTACGTAGTATTTGTGCATGTTAAAAATGCAACAGCTTTCATTGTAGAGAACCAAGTCAAAAAGTCTTCATGGGAGGAGTCCTTACTGTGATGGGAGTCAGTCGGGCTTCATGGTCCCTTTTCAATGGATTCCTACACATTATCTGTGAAATTGCTCCCAGAGCTGGAAAAGGGATATGCCCTTTTATCTGGACATAACACGAGAAGTTGATAAACATCCACTACAACATATAAAATGAGAAATGGTGAGCTACATAATTCAGAACTAATTTGGCTTTGAGTGTGTGCAGCTGATTTTGAAAGTCGCATTTTAGGTGAATTGCAGATTCACAGCCTTCCACATCCCTGTAAATAATTTCATTAAAAATAGAACTTATTATTCCCTAGATAACATTGCCTTCACTTGAAATAGGATGAAGAAGAAGATTTTGCTGCTTTTTCCAAACAGCAAACTGGATTTATGACCCTACTGTAAATGTTGCCACAATCAGACGCACTATTGTTTTCCAGAAGCGCTAAGAATAGGACATAGGCATCCATTAAATCTAAATTTTTAATGGCACGCCGTGTGTTTTTCCTCCATTTAATGATCACTTCTGCTCTGCTGCCAGATTTCTCCATTGCTTGCTGGCTGGCTGGTCACCTATTCAACTTTTCTAATGGGTGCCATTTGTCTGAGTGGGGCTGTTAAACTCAGACTCAAGGCTTCCCAGGTCGGAATTTCTCTAAACAAATCATTTGCAACATTCCAGTTGCTTTCCCTTCCTTTCAGCAACTCAAACACAACCCCTGCTAAATGAAACGTTTTGTTATCAGATGCCACCTTCCCTGTTGTGATCATAAATAATGGCTGATTGGGAATGTAATGTATAAATATTTTACCAGTCCAGAAAACTGACAGTTCTTTCTCCCCCGGTATGTTTTGGAATTAATTGGATGCACACAAGATTACTGAATATGAATTAATTCTTAGTGGGTTGTTCAATACTCTCATTAGACTATGGAGGAAACTGCAGGGATGTACTGTATGTTGTGCATCTCTGTTTGCATAAACAAAGTTCATAGATTGATGAAGTCTTGCTGTGGCAAATGTATGTCACAGGACCATAGAAAGAAGGTGGCTTTGTACTATGTCAAGCTATCAGTCCACCTATCCTTGTTTTGTTTCTTTTGAAGCTTCCCAGAGTCTCAGGCAGAAGATCTTTCCTCTCATCGCCTTCCTGATCCTTTCCTGATCCTTTGGGGGCTTCTGCTTGCAAAGAGAGAGAGAGAGAGAAGGAGAGAGACTCTTTCTCACTTCCTCTTTTAGCTCTATGTGCACTTTAAGGCCCAGATTAATTCTGTGGGATCTGACCTCTCCCTCTCTCTCTCTCTCTCTCTCTCTCTCTCTCTCTCTTTCTCTCTCTGTTGATGTAGGTCAGGCTTTCTCAACCTCGGCCCTCCAGATGTTTTTGGCATACAACTCCCATGATCCCTAGCTAGCAGGACTAGTGGTCGGGATGCTTGGAATTGTAGTCTCAAAACATCTGGATGGCTGAGGTTGAGGAAGCCTGATCTAGGTGGACATGGCGCTCACTCAAAAATCCAAATGTGCTCCCAGGATTGAATAGACTAATAGTGACTCCTGTATTTGACAAATGGGCAGCTCTGCTCTTAGGGAATGAATAGGCAGCAGTTCCCCCCACCTCTTGTTGCAATGCCCCAAGGGATATATAAATGCTGCATGCTAAAGTTCTTCCCACACGGAGTCGCAATAGGTGCTCAGCATATCAGTTCCTGTTCCCTGATGTCTCAGTCTTCCAGGCTGTGCGGTAGCTGCGGAATTCAACCTACACAAGCCATTTAATGAACAAAAGCGGGTGTGCTTCAAAAAACCCACAGTAAATTAAAAAATGATACAATGCATCAACAAAAAAGAGATGAAAGAAAGAAGAGGAGGATGGCATCACTGGTTAAATAAAAGAACCAGAAAAGTAGCAATTGCAAATAACAATCTCATTCATATGGATACCCGCCAAAGTTCTGGGCAGAAAGTATCAGGACAGTTCTTGTTGTCCTACAATTGTGAGCTTCTCTGGGGCATTCAGTTGGCTACTGTTTCAGAAAGTATTCTAGATTGGCTGGACCTGATCCAACAAGTCCAATCTTCTGTTCTGGGAGGTTGTGATGGAGGAATGTCAGCTCTTAACAATCTAATCCTATTATGTCAAACATGAGGTACTGAGTGCCAAAACTCTTAGCCCAGACACATACAAGGACGCTACAAAGCTATACACGAACCTGGCTGCTTGTTGACATTATGGGGCACTACCATAGATCTCGATACTTACCAGTATATTCGAATCACAAACAGGGAGAGGTAAATGAAGTACAGCAAGCTGCAAGTCAGAACACTATTCATTCACTCTTTCTGGTGAATGTTGAGGTAGGTGTGCACTGGGGCACAATGTTCACTTACTGCAATCCTACCTCTGAAATGTTTGGCCTATTGCTCAACATCCAAAAAACCAAGTGCTGCACCAACAAGCACAAAACAACCTCTCTGCAGCACCACAAATCCAACTCAATGATATAATGTTGGGAAATGTTGATCACTTCTCCTACCTGGATAGTTATCTTTCCACAAAGGCAGAAATTAATGCTGAAATCCAGCATTGCCTGAGCTCTGCGAGTGCAGCTTTCTCTCAATTGAAGTGCAGAGTGTTTGAGGATCAGGACATCTGCAGGGAAACCAAAATGCTTGTTTACAAAGCTATTGTACTACCAACCTCCCTGTATGCTTGTCAAACACGGACAACTTATAAAAAGCCATCTACAACTCCTCGAAAGATTCCATCAACCGGTGTCTCCGAAAACTTTTACACACCACTTTGGAAGATAGGTGAACTAATGCCAGTGTATTGGAAGAAGCAAAGATCACACTGAGAGCCAGTGTGGTGTAGAGGTTAAGAGCGGTAGTCTCCTAATCTGGGGAACCGGGTTCGCGTCTCCGCTCCTCCACATGCAGCTGCTGGGTGACCTTGGGCCAGTCACACTTCTTTGAAGTCTCTCAGCCCCACTCACCTCACAGAGTGTTTGTTGTGGGGGAGGAAGGGAAAGGAGAATGTTAGCCGCTTTGAGACTCCTTAAAAGGGAGTGAAAGGCGGGATATCAAATCCAAACTCTTCTTCTTCTTCTTCAGTGTCGAAGCAATGATTCTTCAACATCAACTTTGCTGGACTGGTCTTGTTGTTCAGATGCCTGATTATCGTCTTCCAAAATAACAACTCTATCCTGAACTTAAAAATGGAATGTGTAATGCTGGTGGTCAATAAAAGAGGTTTAAAGACTCTCTCAAGGCAAATCTAAAAAAAGTAGTATTAAAAAATGTAGTATAAACACCAATAACACTGGCCTGAGAGCGCTCCAGTTGGAGAACAGCCTTTACCAAAGGTATCATGAACTTTGAAGATGCTCAAACTCAGGACGAAAGGGAGAAACATGCTAAGAGGAAGGCATGCTTGGCAAACCCTCACCGTGATCAACTCCTGCCTGGAAACCTATGTCACCACAGTGGAAGGACGTGTAGATCCAGAATTGGCCTCCACAGTCACTTACTGTCAGGGAACTGCCATCGGTAGGAAGGGAGGTGAAAGGACTCAGACAGGTTGGAAGAGACTTAGCAGCTGAAGAGGAAACCAGCAGGGGGAGAGAAGCTGAACTGAGGGAGGTGAAAGGGCTCAGACAGGTTGGAAGAGACTTAGCAGCTGAAGAGGAAACCAGCAGGGGGGAGAGAAGCTGAACTGAGGGACAGGGAGCTGGGGGGGATGGCTCAGAGATACTTCCAGCGAAAACAGTGGTGAGGTTTCCGGACCTCCTGTAGCGACACCCACTCCTCGCCGGAAACTGTCACGCAGAGAGTCCAGAAGACGTGTTTCCGTTAAGGAGCTTTATGTTGGAAGCGATTACGAAAGCAACCACTGTCGGAATCTTCTAGTGACTAAGAGGAGCCATGTCAGAGGGGCTCAGTCACAGACAGAGGTTTGTGGACTTGAACAAACTCTGAGGGAATACTATTTTACGCACAAGCAGCTCATAATCCCATCACAGCATTCCGACAGTCTTTGAACGCAGCTTGTGCAGGAGAAGGCATAATGAGCAACCCAGCAGGAACCGGAGAAGCAGGGGCTGGAGCGGGTCCAAGCCTGGAAGAAAGGTACCGAGTGTTGGAGGTCCAGCTGGCGCTGCAGACGGCGAGGCTGGAGGAGAGGAGGGCTCAAGATGCAGACAAAGGGAGAAAGCCACCCAGCTCGCCAGAAAGGTACCAGGATTGGTGCAAAAATTTGGGGAGCCCAAACACTATCATAGCTTTCGGACAGAAATGCAATATGCCCTCAATCTGCAGTTTGATGATTTCCCTGATGAGGAATCACGAGTGGCTTTTGTGATTGGGCATCTTGAAAAGGGGCGCGAGACGGGGTTACACCCCTGATGGCAGCTAATAGTGACGTCTTAAAGGACACGATGAAGTTCTTTCGCGCCATGGATCTGATGTTTTCCAGCGATATTGAAAGGGAGTGGTGCGCAGACAGTTAATGGCTTGCAAACAGGGGAGCCGATCTGTACGTGAGTACTGGACTGAGTTCACCATGCTGATACACAGATTGGGGTGGGACTTATCGGCGGAACCCATTCAAATGCTCTTTGAAGAAGGGCTTTCTTCGGCTGTGAAAGATGAACTTTCCCGGGCGCCCAGGGCGGAGTCTATGGACCAGCTGACCAAATCAGCGCTGGCCATAGGAGCGCGCCAGGAGGCGAGAGCATTGGAGAGGCGGGAAGGGAAAGGGGAACGTTGGAAGGAGTTCCGCATTCCAGAAATTCCAGAGCCAACTGTCCCGCCGGCAGAGCCGATGGAAATCGGAACAGCGCGCGCGCGCAGTTTCAAATCCCAGTGAGGGTGGAAAGAAGTATGGAAAAGGCGCCCGGAAATGCTATCTCTGCCAACAGCCAGGGCACTTTGCCAGAGTCTGCCCCCAGAGGAAGGAATGGCAAGGGATGGTGGGAGCTGTGGAGGGAAGAGAGGAAAAAATACCGGAGCAACTAAAAGCCAACGCCTGGCTGCCATTGTCGGGGCACAGCAGCCAGGCCAAAGAGCAGTGAAGTGCCCACTCCAGAACCTCCTAAACCCGCCCTAGTGATAGAAGTGACACTAGAGCTCCCAAACGGACACCCTCTAAAGATAAAGGCGCTGTTGGACTCAGGCAGCTCCTGCAATTTCATGAGCAAAGAGTTTGCAGCTGAACACCAGATACAGACGCTCCCTTTAAGCAACCCCTGCAGGTAACCACGATCGATGGCAGGGAGCTGTTGGGAGGAGAAGTCAGCTTGCAGACCGTCCCAATGATAATGAAGGTGGCAAGGCACACTGAACTGATAGCTTTTAATGTGGCCACCTTGGGAGGAGCTCCCATTATATTGGGGATGAGCTGGCTAGCGTTACATGATCCGCTGGTGGGCTGGCATCAGAGAGTGGTTTCTTTTGGGTCAGCACATTGCTTAGAACATTGCAAAGAGGGAAGGTTTTGGCAGGGGCCCAAGCCACCCTAGCAGGGACTGAAGTGAAGGCGAACGGGAAGGGACCCCGACACTGCGGGGAGCTCCGCGACGTCTTCAGCGAAAGGAAGCTGACCAACTACCACCGCATAGAGCCTTTGACTGTCAAATCAATTTGCTCCCTGGGGCACAGCTCCCTGTGGGCAAGCTGTACGCCATGTCAGACAGAGAGATGCAGGAGCTAAGAGAGTTCATTGACAAGAACCTGAAGAGAGGGTTCATCAGAGAGTCCAGGGCGGTGGGGGCAGCCCAGTGTTTTTGTGGACAAAAAACACGAACAAGCCGAGACTGGTGTGTGACTTCAGGGCCTTAAATGCAGTGTCAGAACCAGTGGCCTTCCCGATGCCCAGGATTGACGACATTTTGACAAGGGTGCGAAAGGGAAAGATTTTCACCAAGCTGGATCTAAGGGGGCGTACAACCTGATACGAATAAGGAAGGGGATGAATGGAAAACCACCATGTTCACCCTTTAGGGCATTTGAATACTTAGTTATGCCCTTCGGTCTACAAGCAGGCTCCGCAACATTTCAATCGTTTATGAACCACGTCCTGGGGCCGTTGCTTTACAAGAATTGTGTGGCCTTCTTAGACGACGTGTTGGTGTATTCTGAGAATGAGGAGCAGCATGTGAGAGACGTCAGAGAAGTGTTGAGCAGGCTGCAAGCCAACCAGCTGTGGGTGAAACTGGAGAAGTGTCAGTTTCATACCAAGGAGGTGGAATTCCTGGGGTATCGCCTGTCTGACAAGGGGTTGGCCATGGATCCCGGCAAGGTCCAGGCGGTACTGGAATG